CGCAGTGTCAGAAGTGTGCTCAGCGGAGTGGAGGATGGACAGATAAGGAGCGAAGTGGAGGCAACTGTGGCCGGCAGAGCCCAGAGCCTGGGAAGTTGGCTCAGGGTCCTCCTGGATGCTGGTGCTCAGCTGCCACTCATCCCACGGATGGGATGGCTGAGCCACACAAAGCTCTGTGGTCTGCTCATGGCCAAGGAGGCCCCGGGCCTTGTTCCCAGACAGCCAGTGGACTTCCCACTCTGCTGCTCAGGGGGGCTTCATGGGAGGGAGAGTCGACGTGGAAAAACCCTCACTGCTGCCCCCTGGTGGCCAGGTTGGTGGAAGCCTCAAGTTCTCCTTGGAGGTGATGACAATTTTTCTTCTCTGGAAAGAGCCGAGCTGCCTGGGGATAGCCTTCGACTCTGAGCTCATCCGGAGTTTCACACACTTGAGTAAGATGGGGCTCCAGCCTCTCCCCATCAAGCAACTGTCACCACATTCGGTGTGTGGTGGGCCGTGGGCTGGGGAAGGAAGCCGGGCCTCCGCGTGGGCTAGGCCGATGCTGTGCTGCTGAGCCCGAGGTCCACACTGGTGCGTCTTCATCTTCCCCATGGCAGTGCTCACGTCTGCTTGCTTTCTGTCCTCCGGTGCCCCTGGATCTCCCCGTGCAGGTGGAGAAGCTGGGGCTGAGGTCGGATCTGACCAGGGCCCCGGGAGACCCAGGCAAGGGCGAGGAACTCCCAGGACCAGGTCCTCAGACCGTGTATCTCTCCGCTGGGATAGCGCTCCCAATGGTGGGTTTCTGGCTATCTTTAATTCTGGTACTGCTGCCAGTGCTTATTATGGGATTTGGGTTGCCATGGCCATGGTGGGTCGATCTGGGGACTGATCTGAGGTAGGAAGATCAGACAGAAGTAAAACGGACAAGGACTGATCCCGTGTGGAGTTCCAGAAGCTTCCTCCCATGAGCCAGCTGTGAGTCATGCAATTCCCTGTTTCCAAAGTGTCTGCCAGTGCATTTCTTAGCATTCTCATCATGTCATCTAACTGCTCCTTGCAGTTGCATGGTCAGGTGGAGGACTCAATTCCGTTTTCTCCATCGGTGTGGCCCTCTTCAGCCGAGTTAAAATGAACAGGTGATGCTTGCAGAGAAAAGACTGAGCATCTTGTTTAAGAATGCATTCACCTTACAGTGAATGATGCTGTTTCCTGGTATAAATGGGAGGCAATGCATCTAATAGTCTGTATCCGTCAAGGCTGACTGCATGTATGTGCCAGCTGGATGCAGAGGAATGTCTCACTAGAAATCATGAGAGAAGCATTCAACAGGAGAGGGACCACGGACACAAGCCATTCTTTTATGAGCAGAGGCTCAAGAGCCGCGAGCTTGGGGAATGATGGAGGGCCTCTTCCATGTTGGAGCTAAGGATGAGTTAAGCGCCATGTTGTAGCTACAGAGCCACATGTCACGATGGCTTAGTGTCAATCGGTGAGATTCACCAGCATCAGCGAGAGGAACCCTAAGAAGGTTGGGTGCAGATGGGGTGCGTCTGCATGGTGCGGACTGGTCTTCAGGACCAGCGCTGCGCTGCCGTGTCGTCAGGAGTTGGTCAGAGGGACGGCAGACGCGGCCTTGATTTGGCCTCCAGGAATGGTTTTGAGGACAGGAGCCCCAGCCCTCTGCTCCATGCTGCCAGTGGGATGCAGGACACTGAATTCAGGACCACACTGCACGGCAACCTGGGACGAAGACGTGAATACCAGGACAGTCCCTGGGAACTGGCTGGACACTGCTGTGTGGGTCTCCCGACTGCTTCTCCCACCACAGCTCCATCATCCCAGGGATGTAGGGACTGTGGAAGTGGCTCTCCTGCCCCTGCTGCCACCCAAGAGCCTGACCCGGGGGCACCAGCCCGTGCCCGGTGCTGCTCCCCGGGCAAGAAGGCTCAGGTTCCACCTGCACTCGGGGGAGGCCTGGGTTCTACTCATCGAGGGCTGTGTTCGAATCCTGACTACCCACCCCCCCTCAGACTTCCAGGAGCAGCTCCTGGCCTTCACTGACGGTGCCTTACAAAGAATATAGGGATGAGCCGTGCGTGACGGACTCCCCTGGGAATCAGGTCTAGGAAAGGCACGAGGTGTGCTTGCTACGCAGTGCTGGCCTGTGACAAAAAGGGCAGCCCCCTTCCAAACACCACATCCGGGAGGGGAGATCTGACTCCACTCAGTTCCTGCCCCAAAGGAACCTGGGAAACGGCGCTGCAAACCACATCATAGAAAACAGCAGGGAAGGCAACGGGAGGGGGCCAGTTAGCTCAGCAGCTAGGGGGAAATGGCACCGAGGCGCTCTTCAGGGCACCGAGAGGCTCTTACGGGTCCCGTCTACGGCCAGTACTGGACTCCCTGGGGATTTTCAGGTCATTGTTTCCTCTTGGGATCAGGGGCAGAGAGGACTGGAAATTTCACTGGATCTTAAATACTGGTGGTTCAGTGAGAAAGGCAAGGAAACCTAGTTAGCACAAAGAAGATTTGCCTCTGTCCTTCAGAAGTTTCCGGAGCTGGGCGCCAGTGGCTCACGCCTGTCATCCTAGCTACTCAGGAGGCTGAGATCTGAGGATCCAGGTTCAAAGCCAGGAAGGAAAGTCCGTGAGACTCTTATCTCCCATGAACCACCAGAAAACTGGATGTGGCGCTGTGGCTCAAGTGGTAGAGCGCTCGCCTTGAGCTGAAAAGCTGAGGGACAGCGCCCAGGCCCAGAGTTCAGGCCCCATGACTGACCCCTCCCCCCCAAAAAAAGTTTCTGGAGCCACAGGTGGGTAATGGAGATGGTCTCAGTCATGGTTATAGTGAACTCCTGAAGGCTGAGAGTTCTTAGGAAGCAGGAAGCAGGGCTGCTTATTTAAGTCATGTTCTGAATGGTTTTTCACTCGTGCCATTTATATCCTAGTAATTTCTAACAGCAGGGATTGGCTACTTTGAAGAAACAGAGTTGGATTTATCCATGAGAAGGAGCCACCAGGGAAGCACAGGCAATGCGCTGGGCCCGTTAACCGCCTGTAACACAGAGCTGTGTGATTAAAGCTGTGTGTCTGGGCCTCGGAGAACCTTCTTCCTAGTGCAGACCCTGCTCTCCTGGCCAAGGGAGGGGCGGAGCGTCTCCCCCAGTCTCCGTGGGGTCGCTTCTGTGCCTGTGTAGTGGGGAGAGGAGCCGGAGGCCCTGCAGGATGGGATGGGAGCCATGGGACGGGAACCCCTCAGTCCAGTCTCCATCCCTGTTACCCACCCTGACCTCTTCCAAGAGTCCCAGAGTGGGGGGCCATTCCACTCCCAGGGGGCAGGGAGGGTGGGGGGCGATTCCCGGCATCAGTGGACAGGACAGGACAGGACAGACTCGCTGTGCTGCTGCCCACGTCTTACCTTCCCTCACCGAGAGGAGGAAACCCCGGGGAAGGAGCTCATGATTCCTTTATTCTACACCCTGGACATTGGAAGGGCCTCAGAGCCCAAAGTCTCCTTGAGGTCTCTTGCTGTTTGTCATGACCTGACTTTTCCTGTGAGCCACTTAGTGGTGGTGTGTTGAGAAGCGTGGAGCTAGCTGGGTCTGGGGTTCTCATCTGAGCTCTACTATGAACAGGGCGTGTGTGTGTGTGTGTGTGTGTGTGTGTGTGTGAAAGAAAGAGAGAAATAGAGAGAGAGACACACACACAGGACAGACAGACAGTAAGGAGTCACTCAGCCTCTCTGAATATGGTTTTTCTAATTGGTATAACAGGACCATAATTTTCTGGAACAAAACCACCTCTCTCTTTGGGGCCTGGCACTGGTGGCTCATACCTTCAAACATAGCTTCTCAGGAGGATCTCAAACTGGAGGATCTCAGTTTGAAGCCAGCCCAGGCAAAGAACTCTGCGGGATTCCATTTTCAATTAACCAGCAAAGAGCTAGGCTTGGAGGCATGGCTCAGGCAGTCAAGCACCAGCTGAGCAAGTAGGCTGAAGGAGTTCCGGGCCTTATGTTCGAATCTTGGTACTAGCAAATAAATAAACAAGTAAAAAATAAAATAAAAAAGCCTTGGGGGTGGAATGTTTGTGAGCTATAGAAACAATAAAAGCTATAAGTCCACTGCACAGCTTTGAAAGCTACAAGGCTCTGAAGAAGGCTCAGTTCCTACCCAGGAGTTTTCTTGGAACTCAGAGCTTGAAAACCACCCCGAGCTCCTCAAAATGAGCCCAAGGCTCACAATCAGACTCATTATATATAGAACCTTAAAAAAAAATGTGGACTTTCCTTTTCTTGCCTTTCACTGGCAAACAGAGCCTTGGTTAGCGGAAAGCCAAGGAGGGGATGTTAATTGCTGGTTTTTATATTTGAAAAGGGAGATTATTAGCCGAAGTCTCAATTCAGAAACTTCAAGAAGAAATGGAAGGGTGTGGCCAGGGTTTGGGAGGGGGACTGCATTTCCTGTTTTCCTTTCCAATGGTGTCGACAACTCGGATAGGAAACCATGGAGACCTATCATGAATTCCAAAATTCATTCTTCTTGCCACCAAGAGCCCAGCCCCATAGGTGATGGGTAGAAGTAGTCAAGTGTTCCTTTGTGAAGGAGTCTGGGTAGCAGGAGTGGAGCTGGCCCTTTGCAGGAGGAGGATGGGATTCAGAGAAGTGACATCAGCTCATAGCAGGGGCCAGGCAGCAGAGCCCGGGGTCTGGTTTTCATTTACAGTTTGGGTCTGTCCTGCAGTGAGGAGAGAGGAGGGGTCTGGAGGAAGGGAGGAGGAGGAGGAGGAGAAGGAGGAGAGACAGGAGGAGGAGGAGGAGGAGGAGGAGGAGCTGGACTGTACCCTGGACCCTGTCCAGTTTGGAGCTTAGCTCTCCACCAAAGACGGCTCAGTTGTTGAGCCTTCAGCAAAGATTGCAAGAGGAGGTGTCCTCCTCTCTCCCTGGGCTCCCCTGTGCTTGGTGGAGGAAGGCTGCGGAAAGACAGAGGGACACCGTGAGGGGGAGCAATATGCATTCTGGTGGACATAATTGACTCTAGAAGCCAGGGACACGCATCTTCACGCTGCTCAGGGTGAGTGTGATTTCCCTTCCCCTCACTGTGGTTGGGAAGGGAATGCTCTGGAAACCGGAGGTGACCACATTTTAGGACCTCTGTGCGCCTCGGTTTTCAGTGCCTGTTTTGGGTTTCTGGAGGAGTCTACTGATTTCTCTCACCCCCTTTGTAGCAACTGGGTTGCATTCCCGGGGTTGAGGTCGCGGCGTTGCCCAAGCGCAGAAGGGGCTTTCAGCGCGCTCGTGATAGCACTGTTTTCTCAGCCTGTGATTTATGGGGAGTTCTCGCCTTCTTCCCAACGGGGCTGGAATCTGCTTTGTTCCCAGAAGCGTCTGGCGGGAGACTGGCGAGCGGACCGGTGGGGGCTTCAGGGTCTTCTGACAGCGACCCCAGGCTTGAAGCGTGCGCCGGGGGTCCCTGCCCTGGGCCACCCATGGGAAGGAAGAGCGAGGGTGGTACATTATTGCTGTCTTCACAAGGTTGGGGGGCTTGGGCTTCGGGTTCAGTGTGGATCTGCTCAGCCCTGATCAGAAGGGCTTCATCTCTTCAGGAGTCTGAAGCCACGCCGGAGACCGTCCTTGGGGACAGGCCTTTGCTCTTGGGGAGCTGCAGGGCCAGCGGGGGAAGGAATGTGAAGGGGGGTGGGCACCGTGCCAAGGGGACGAGGCAGGGCCCCGGGGCTGCGGGCTGTGTGCCGTCCAGATGTGCAGGGCTCCGGGCCAAGCCTGGAGGCCCAAGGGCGATTCCCCGGCCCCGAGGGCCCAGGGTGGGGCTCAGGTCCTCTCTCGGGAAAGCTGTGTGCTGGTGTAGCGACTTCTTCCAAGCCTGCCACCTAAGAAAGATGGGCAGGGGGGAGACAGGACGAAGACGCAGGGAGGGTCCTGGTGCTGGGGGAGCAGTTCAGACAAACCCAGAGAGCCCAGGGCAAACTTCGAGGCTGCTTTGGGAGGACAGGGATGGTGACCGTGCGGCAGCCTCCCTCCCGCCCGAGGAGCAGGGCGGGCTCTCCCAGGGTCCCGTGTGCCCTGGCGCGCACCATAGCCCCCCATCTCCCTGAGGTCCGTTCTTACTATGGCAAAAAGTTGAGCAGGAGTCGTGTCACAGTCAAAATCGCGATGTTCCTCACCCAAATGACGCGGGAGCGCAGCTGGCTGGCTATGGAGCTGTTCCCAGGACTTCCGACTTCTTCACCGGGGTGAAGATAATGGAAGAGATTCTTGGCCGGCGGCCACCGACGAGCTGTTCCTGGGCTTTAAAGATGAGACATCAAAGGCTCCAAATGACTTGGTAGGGCCATGGTCAGGGGGGCGATGAGCCACGCACGGAGACGCCCCCGCCGAGCGTTGGAGAGGGCTCCCTGACCTGACTCTCTAGAGAGCCTTCCCCTGTCCCGCGCTGCGAAAGGCAGTAGGAAAAGTGGTTGAGGCCCCGTAGCAAGTAACAGAGGAAGCGGCGATGTCCCTGAAGGGAGGGTGGCATCGCTCTGGCACTGAGAACCGGGGTGAGCCGCCCGCAGCCAGGCCCTCTCGGGGACCCGGGGGGTAGCGCCAAGGTTTGCTCCACTGGGGTGTGACCGGGTGCCGAGGATGCAGGTTTTGGGTGGGGCATTGCTCTGGCAGACGCGTGGGGTGCAGGAACCGCAGTTCTGTCTCTGGACACCTGTGCTGTGGCAAGGTCCTTTCACACCCAGAGTCGTTTACTGGGTTTTTCCCCTTGCTCACGGCTGGGAGAAGCCACCAGCGGGCAGACCTGAGGCCAGGCAGTGGGATGATGAGCAGCCTGGGTGGGACTGGGTGCCTCCCTTGGGTTTTTCCTGTCTGGGAACCGGAGGGCGTGGCTGGAGCACCTTCTGGGAGTGTCAACCGTTGGCCAAGAGGTGTGCATCCCACCCCACCATGGTCGGTCATCAGGTGAGGGGCTAGAGGCCAACTGCCCGAGCCCGGGGGCTTCGTGATGTCTCTGGGAGGAAGCGGACATCTTTCTGAATGAGACCTGTCTTCATGACCACACTTCCCTTTCTTTCACACATGTCACTCACCGGAAGTGATGGTAAATCGGGAGGAAATTAATTGATGTACGTTTCCAGTGAAGCCTTGAACCCTGGTCTCAGTTTGGGGTGCTGAAGGCCAGCGTATTCCCCCCTTCCCCCCCTCCCCGCGGCGTCCTTGCTGAGAGGCGGGGAGCCGGCACTGTCTGCCGGAGCTCTGCTTGCGTCTCAGAGTTTAGGTGGCCCGGATTAAGGGTCGCTTACCGGCGGTCTGCATCTTTTATGTGAAATTCCGTTTAGGATGGAAAACTCACCAGCCAGTCCCAGATTCGGTGGCATGAGACTTTCTTGCAAACATGCAAACAACTTTAGCAGATTTTCTTTTCTTTGAAAACGTGTTTTTGTCACTTGGCTGTGGAAGAAAGCTGAGAATTTGGTATCTGTTGGGGAAGAATAATGGGCGGTGGCTCTCTGAATGAGACCCTGTGTCCCAGGAGGCTTTTCCACCAGAGCTGCAGGAGCAAACTTCACATGGTGTTCTGGCCCTGGCAAACAGACAATAAAAACACACCACCACTGCATAAATAGTTGACGATTTGAGGGGGAAAAAACCTACTGGTAGCTCTAGCTAAGGAAAGCAGAGCTCCAAAAATGATTCCAGTTTTAAAGCTGGCAACGTTTAAGCTGCTACTTCAGACTAGATAAAGCCTCCGGATAAAGTCTGTTTCCGCTAGAAGAGCTCTAAGAGACAATCCTGCTTGTAAAATATAAGATGTTGCTTTGTCCTGTTCAAACCATGATAAGGAGAATCTTAGTCTCAGTGGCACCCACAGGCCCTGACTTTAAGAACAGGGGTTCTGTTCAGGAAGGTGGGATACGGCTTTCAGACATGATCTATTGGGAAGAAGAAGATGGTGTGGCTTGGTGCCTCCATCTTGGAAGAGTGGGTTCTGGTGATGTGATTTGGTTTCGTTCCTCTAGAGGGCAGTATGTTCCTCTGAACGTAGGAGTCCTCTCAACGCGGTCTGTGCAGTTTCTCTGGGTGGGGTTCTAATGTTCTTGGGGTGTCATTGATGGATGCCCAGCAAGGCTTCTGAGTAACCTTAGGGTGGTCCCAGGGTCTGTTTCCACACTATATATATGTACATGTACAATATATACACTTATGTACATGTATATATATACATGTATAGATGTATGTATGTATTTACGCACAGTCTCTGAGAGGCACATGGCAATTGAGTTTTGCTTTTCTCTCACGTTCATGTGTGAGTGCACTGAGCCAAGACCCTGCCTTCAAGGGAGCTTTCTGTGTGCTTGAGCCCCCGCCCCATGAAAGAGCACTGGGCACATGAGCCGTTGGAAAGGAGCTAGTTCTCCGTGTCCAATTACAGAAGTTTGCATGAGCAGCTGCGGGCTTGGGGACTGAGGCACACTTGCATCCTTGTGTGTGGAATCTGAGCAGGATCTTTTAATTAAAATGAGCTGATCCAGTAATTCCTAAAGTAGTTGGTGTCTGCCATTTTATGTTTCCCCCCAAATGGAAAATCAGTTTAAACATGTTAAAAAAAATCCCACAGAGTGAATGGCCCGTTTCAATTGCTTGTTAATTAAAATTGTGTTACTGATGCTCTCTGACTTGTGACTGTGAACCTGTGGTAAGCATTGCTAGAACCCCCAGGTGGAGAATTCCAGCGCTGCCTGTCTATAGTTTGCCTGTGTACACTCATTTTCACTTAGCTTACCATGACATAATACGCTCCAACACATGGACAGGGGACAAAAAATGACAAAGATGTAGAACTCGCCTTTCTGCTTGGTTAGTTGAAATCCTGAAAAATTATTGTTTTGGCAGATACTGTCTTTGTACCCTTCCCATGCCAGGCGAGGACAGGAGCTTGGACAGTTGCGTGCCTGGGAGAAGGCCCTAGTGCCCAGTGCTGGCAGTTGAGGCAAAATCAGTTTCCTGAGTGCTCTGCATGTGTCTCATGTAATTTAGCAAACAGATATCTGGGGTCAACATGGTAAAGGATAGAAACATTTAGGAGTATATTTTAGAATACCATATGGAAAAGGCACTATTTATATATATATGTATATACACAATATATACACTTATATAGGTGTACATATATATATGTGTATATGTATTTACACACATATAAGTATATATGTGTGTATATGGACACAACACATATATTGTGCTTGTACTGGTACTTGAACTCATGGCCTTGTGCTCTTGCTTGTCTTTTGTTGCGACTTAATTGGAAATAGGAGTCTCTTGGATTTTCTATGCCCAGACTGGCTTTGCACCTTGATCCTCAGAGTTCAGCCTCCTGAATAGCTACAGGTGTGAGTGAGCTGCTGGCACCTCGCTCTGCACTTACCGGTTTGATTTTGGGTTAGCATCTTTGCATTTGATTTAGCAGAGGAGGATTAACTGTTGTTTAAAAAATCTGGAAAGAAAAAGGAGAGAAGAAAAATGAAACAAATATGAAAGTTCTGCCAACCTCCTCCCTAGGGCCGCGTGCTGGTCTGACGGAGCCTGGCTGCGTTTAGCACCACCCGCTCCCACTCTTCTCCGGAGGCTGAGGCTCCAGAAACACAGAACACAGAGGAACGTGTGAGTGGTGGGCTGGCTGGGGGGCTTCAGTGGCACCGGTGTCTGCGCACCCTCTGATGTCTTCCACCCCAGATTGTCCCGGACCCAACGCAGGGGGAAGGAAGAGATCATGGGTTGGTTTGGTTTCAAAATTAAAACTTGAGCAGCAGCTGGATATGACTCAGATCTCAAGGGAAACCATTCCAGGAAACTGGTTTTTCATTTCTGGAACCTTCATTAGTTGATTCAGCAACTAGTGCTGGCACAGGGAGCTTCAGCCAGCTCAGCTCGACCCATACAGAGCCTGGCGCTGCTGGGATGGCCAGCTAGCCCCTGTGGCTTGGAGCCTGCCAAGCAGAGCAGAGCATGGAGCCTTGTCTGGGGACCTGGGTCAGGTCTGCCCTGCCCCCGCAGGCCGCCTTACTTTGT